TTTGTGAGTATCTTGGCTGCAGTCCTGGGGCTCCTAGCCAACTGTGTGAAAACACTGGTGCAGAATCAGAAGCTCAAGAAGACTTTAATACCAGCAACCAAACATGGGAGAGGTAGGCTTAATTATTATTTTATTTTTCCTAGAAACATGCAGAATGAGCTTTCATATGCAAGTATTTAATTCAGACGTTGCATACAAACAGATGCAACTCTGTGTGTGTGTGTGTGTGTGTGTGTGTGTGTGTGTTTAGTTTCTACAGCTAAAAGTGTTGAGAGAAAATCTGTGGAGTGCATTCAGTTGTTTTATTTTGGAATTGATTTTCACATTTGTGGCAGGCTCTTTTAAATATCTCTAGTGGGGGTGAGATTTCATCCTTTGTGTATGGAATTACTCTTTGGAAAGAATGATAAGAATAATTAGCTCCATATTTTGGAAATAAGATGGGTACTATTGCATGAGGAAACAAAGACAAAACTTAGAAAAACACAAATAATCCCTCTAAAAATGAGCAAAGGATTTGTGATCTTTTTTCCTGAAGAAAATATAAAAATGACCGATAGACACACGAGAAGCCATCAGAAAAATGCAAATCAGAACCACAATGAGACATTACTTCACACATAGGAGCATGGATTTAAGATAATAACGAACTCTGGTGAGTAGCTGGGAATCTGGTACACTCAGACATACAGGTAGAAATGTGAAGTGGTGAAGCTCTTCTGGCTTTTGTTATGTTTGGAGTTGCCATATAAGCCAGAAGTTCCATTCCTAGGATAGGCCCAAGAGAAACGAAAACAGGTGTTTACTCCAAAACCAGCACATGAAGCAGAATTAGTGATCATAGTCAAAATTCAGAAATAATCTAAATGCCTATCAGCAGATGGATAAATAAAATATGGTATAGTCATACAATGAAATAGAAAGAAGTTAAATACTGACATATGCTTACATCATGGGTGAACCTTAAGAATTACCTCGGGTGAAAGCTAATCATAAGAGACCTTATGCTAGATGACTTAATTCACAGAAAATGTTCAGAACAGGAGAACAGAAGAACATCAGTTCTTTCCAGGAGCTGGTGGCTAGGGATGCTGGAAGAAAACCAGGAATGACTGTTGATGGTATGAGATTTCTTCACAGGCTGATGAAAATGCTTTAAAATTTATGACAACAATAGTTATCTCTGTGTATATACTAAAAATCACTGAATTGTACACTTTACCTGGGTAAATTATATGCTCTAGGAATATATCTCAATAAAGATGCTAAAAATAAGAGTTGCTGGAATTTGTGAGTTTGATTTAATTATCTGATTTCTACTGTTAGCTAAGTATCTTCTTTACTGTCACCCTACTCTGAATGATTTATATATTTTGCTTCTTTGATTCTTACTATCTCCTATTGGTTGGGCAGACTTATTGATCTCCATTTCAGAAATTAGGAAACTGGAACACAGGGTGATTAAGTAGTTTCCCTGAAGTAACACAGCAGTGAGTATTGGGCCAGGATTGAAAATTCAGGCCTATCTGGTGTTAATATTCACATCTTCTTCTTTTTTTAATTTTAAAAAACTTTTATTCTTTTGAATAGTGCAGTTTTTATTAACTTCTAGGGGAGTGTTCTGAATTTCCTTACACAAACAGAGCCCATACAGATATTTCTGCATTATCATTTCTTCCTCTTTGGCAGAGGTAGTACGCTATACATGTTGTTCTGAACACTGCCTTCTTCATTTCTCAGGACATCTCAGAAGTCCTTCCATACTGATATGCTTCATTCTTGTGTTTACGGCTTTAGAGGATTCCAGTGCCTAAATGAGGCACCATAATTTAATTAACTGTTCTCCTTTGATGGCTACTTAAGTTTCTTTCCAAGATCCTGTGTTTTGAAACTACCTTCAAAGGCAGAAGGGAACTCATAAGAAATTCAGTCATTTTAAAAATAAAACCCTTTCCTCAAAAGTGAACTACTTTTATCAAACACGTTGGTTGGTTAAAAAAACACACAAACAACAACAACAAAAACAACTGTTAAATTCCAATGTAATGGACTGATGTTATGTGCCTCCCAAAGTCACAGGTTGAAGTCCTAATTCCCAAGGTCGTCATGGGGCCTTTTAGGACCTGAGGGTAGTGCCCTTCTTAAGGCAGCTCCAAAAGAGATAGTCTCTGCTTCTACCACTCCAGGATACAGTGAAAGGGAGGTCTGTGTTCAAGCAGGCCCTCCCCAGACACTGAATCTACCAGGACCCGGATTCAGGACTTCCCAGCCTCCAAAAATGTCAAAAATAAGTTCTTCTTGTTTACAACCTATTCAGTTTGTGGCATTTTATTTCAGCAGCCTGAATGATTCAGATAATCAATACCAACAAAAATTAATTGCATTATGCCAGAGTTATAGCCCCATGTGAGCCATGAAAATGTATTCCATTTCTATAAACAGGAGAGGCCCAGGGATTTCCAAAAACTAAACAGCATTCAGTTGTTCTGAAATCTCTGTACCTATTTAGCATATTGTTTCTGCTGATTAATATTTGTGGAAATGAAGAATAAGACATTCCTACTGAATCACAGATCACACGTATGGTGACTCTCCATATGATACCTATGTTAAACCAATCAGATTCCTTGAATGGAATGGAATTCCAATTCTTATTTTAGCAAAATGAGACACTGAATATTTTAAGGGTTCCCAGCTGTCTTAAGAACTTCTATTAGCAGTTTTAATAACAACTTGTCAATTTTCTTTCCCTTTTTCCTCTTGTAAAGAAACTATCACGTTAATAAGGCAATGGATTTTCTAATGGACGCCTACCTTAAATGAGTTTGAGCATTTACAGGTAAAGGGGAAGCAATAAGAAAGGTAAGATGAGTGCAGACAGGATATCCAGGACCAGAGACCGAGGGTCTCTTCTAAGGGGAATGGGAGGTAAGAACACCAGTGTGGAGCTTTTCAAAGGGAAAGAAAGTGCCAATTGAATTGAAAAGGCAGGACAAGAACATATATTGAGCTTGAGTATCGGCTTGGGGAAAATCTTATGGTACACATCCAGGGTGATGAAGACTGTGGAAATGGATTTTGCAAAGCGAGTGCAGTGCAGATGGACAGGAGTGAAGGACAGGTGTCAAGGCCACAGTGGATGAGCAGTGAGTGTGGGTCTCATTCATGGGAAACAAAAGAGCCCAGAAGCTCAGATACTAACTAGAACCTGGACAGAAATATGCTGTGCCAAAAGCTTAAGAAAAAGTGTGTGCTTCCTATTATAACCATCATGTGGATTTGCAGTGGGAGATTTTGAAAACAGAAGAACATAAAAAGAACAATTAAAAATCACGCGCAATCCTACCACCCAGTGAGAACCATGATTAAAATATTGGCAGACTGACTTGCATTCTTTTCTTTATGTACATATAAGACAAAAAAAAAAAAAAATATATATATATATATATATATATACACTCACTTCTATACATATATATTTTTATCTGCAAAATTGGGCTCATATTATCATATTATAAATAAATTTTATACACAGCCCCCCCATTTCATAAGTAGTTTCCCATGTTGTGTGTTCTTCCAGGATGTAATTTTAATGATGCCATTATATGTCTCCTATAAATTTAAGCAAAATCATTAGATTATTTCCATACTGCTGAAACTCTAGGTTGTTTCTAATTTTTTTTCCATCTTATAAATAGCACTGTGATGGACTTTCTTGTCATAAGTCTTTATTTATTTCCTAAGAGAAACTTAAAAGTATATCAGTATGTCACATTCAAAATTCATTCACTCAGCGGACCAGTCAGTACCTATAACTTCACCACTGGAAGCCTCTTGGGACAAGATTCAAAAAAAACGCATAAACAAATAAACAATGCTATTTCCATATCACTCGCAGTCTATATTTATCCTTCTGGAGCAGTCGTCTTTCAGGCAGTACATTATTTCCTCCAGGCAAATGGACTATTACTGGGTTAATCTAAATGCAATAACAAGAAACTTGGCTGACCCAGATTTCTCCAATAGAAGTGTGCAAGCAATTACAACATTCTGCAGATTGAAGAATACTCAAGGCTCTCAAAAACACATATTTTATCAATCCTTTCATTTAAAATGATGCACAATTGAGCATTAAAAGAAAAAAAGGTTAGAGTCAATGTAGGATGATAGCAACCACATCTTAGGTAGATACATATTTACACATAGTGTGACTTAAGGTTTTCTTCTAACTTTAGCTTTTTTCCTCTGTCACTTCTATAGTTATAGGGCTTTTAAGTACTCTAAAACATGTTGAAGTTATTAATGATTCCTATTAAGAATTATATGGTCTTAATAGTCTAGTCATAAATTCTTTACAGCTTATATTTTTAAATTATTCTATTTTCAAGACACTAAAGTAAGGTTCTCATGATCTCTAGAGTATGTGTGTGTATAAATTCATTTACATAGGGACATTCAATTAAAATATTTTTTCTCTGACTGGCCAATAAAAAATAAAGTAAAACAAAACACAATAACCCCCCTACCTGTACTGCTATTCACATTAAATATGAAATCACTCAAATTCCAAAGGCTTCTTAGAATTACCAGTCAGATGAAGATATCTAGGGCTCCATGGTATACTTGTGCAGAGTGCACACTGTACAACTGTTGAGGACACAACTGAACCCTGATCTATGTGACTGGTATCTGGAGTTGTGCAGTATGCAATCTATAATAGCTATATGTGAAGAACTTGAGGTTAGTTCTAATAGTTCTGTTTGCTTATCCATTACTTATTCATGCATCTTTTCCTCTAGAGAGCTATGAAAAATAAAAGTTTTGAGGGAGGGAATTGGGTCTTTAAATCTATGTAGTTTTTTTTTTTCTTTTAATTTTAAATGAAGGAAATTCTGCAAAGAAACAATAACAAATTCTCCCTGGCTCCCCTCTGTTACTATGAAAAGGCTTTCTGACTTCCATCTCCCCTTCCAGCCATCCAGTAGGAAGCAGTGATGTACCTTGTGTGAGTAACTGCAGGTTTCGGACTTCTTCTCGCACCTTCAGCTGGAGCACCTGTTGCAAGATGTGCTGCCGGAGGTTCTCCTGGGCTATCCCCATACGCTCAAGCTTTTTGTCCGTGAGTCTCAGCAGAGCTCGCCCTGAAGGGTTAAGAAATAGAGAACAACAGATGAGCAATTCGCTGGAGAAGAATTCCGTCTTGGTCCTAGTTGATACCCACATAGTAGAAGTTTCCAACCATACATACACTGCAGAACAGAGGGCCCTCCGTAGTCCTTGTTGACAAGAATGGGCAATTGGGATGAAGAAAATCTATATGTGTACGAAAACCCCAATTTGTATCTAATACATTCCAACTAACCTAAACGCTGAGTCAGATAAAATAGAAAATGTTTAACCTGGATATTTGGGTCACCGATGCAGGTTTCCATAGAAACAAAGCTCTTCATTGAGGGACAGGTTCTCAGGGGGCCACAGGAGCCCAAGGCACCAACAGCCCAGATACAGAACTGGATGCTCTAACTGGTTCTGTAGAAACCCAGCAACACTGAGCCCAAGACACAATCTTGTCTCTGTGAAGCATGCATTTAGAGTCGGTTTTGAATCTTCAGGGCTCCCACTCTGGCTGCTCCTCTGGCACAGGGCTGGAGTCCATCTCCAGCTGCTGGGGCTTTGCCTTAATCCCAACCACTGGCCCCAGGTGAGGGTTCCAGCAGGGCCAAGGGCAGGAGGAGCTGGAGAAGCTCAACAAAGCAAGATAGCAAGCCTGGGTTGGAGCCCTCAGTATTCACACCCTGGGCCTAGGTGGCCAGCATGGCCTCCTTGGATGCTGCCTTGCCCGCAGAGGTCTACCTGCTTCCCCTGTACCATGATTTCTATTAAATCCTCAAGTTCTCCCCAGCTGGGCTTGCCCTGAAATAAGCACTTCCACCTTGAAGGTTAACTATAAGAAATAAAGGGAATGATGGTTGTTAACTGCCCATGGCACCACCCTCTAGTCTCTCCTGACATCCTTAGGCATTACAACTGCAGATCTTTTCTCATTTCCATAACTGAAGGAGAGTCAGAGTCAACTACATGTGATCCATGGTAAGTCTGCGGGTATATTATTACATACTCCAGAAACTAAATGTTCTACCACGGAGAAAAAAAAAAAAAAGACCACCAACCAGATGGTGAAGTTAATGGACATTTTCATCAAAGGAACAGGAAAGCCCCTGTGGCCTGTGAGTGAGAGAACCCGTGGGGCACAGTCTGTGCAGCCTGCTCTTTTTACTCCCTTCCCTTTAGCCCTTGTAAAATACACCAGTCAGGATAAGTTAGCTTACATGGTACAATAACAAACAACCCCCAAACATCAGTGAGTACAACAAAGTGACTCTCAGCTTGTCCAGCATGTTGACTGCAAGACCACCCGCCTCTAACTGGGCTGTTTAGAGAACCAGAGGGAGAAACAAAGGCACTAGAAGATCCCATTGATGACACATTCAGTCCAGAGTCATCTCTGGCCGGAACTAATCACAGGAACCTTCCCACTCACAGGGCTGCACCTTTCACTTCCAACATGTTCCCAGAAGTGAGGGGGTGGTATAGGAATGTTGGTCAGGAATATTGGATGGGAACTGTTTAAGTCAGGTTTTGTGTCACTGTGACTAAAATACCTGACAAGAACAACTTAGAAGAGGGAAAGTTTATTTGAGGCTCATAGCGTCAGAGGTCTCAGGTCATAGATGGCTGACTCCATTGCTGTGGGCCCGAGGTAAGATAGAACATCATGGGGGAAGGGCCAGTGGAGGAAAGCTGCTCAGCTCACTGCAAGGTCAAGAATCAAAGAGAGAGAGAGGGTGAAGGGGCCACGGGGAAGAGGCATCCTTCCAGGGCAGACCCCAGTGACCTTCCTCTTCCAGCCATGGCCCACCTGCCTATGGTTACCACCCGGTCAACCCACTCAAACTAGGATGGACTGATTAGGTTACGGCTCTTCCAATCTAATAATTTCACCTCTGAATATTCCTGCACTAACAGAAGGAGCTCTTGGGGTCATCTCATATCTAAACCATAACAGGAAGCAGTGGCAGAACTATACCATTACAGATGTAGCCCTGGAGTAGTTCCTGTAAGGAAGTGAGCTCAGAAGTGGGCATGTTGGCAGGGGTGTCTGAGGCTTCAACAGAATCTGTATCTGTCACAAGGATCCAAGGCAGCTAGCTGTACCTCAGGCTGGCTACCGAGGGGATTAAGGTAGTCATAAGAAATCAGGGAGAGGACAAAAGCAGACTCCAGGGCTTCCACTGCCTTCTGGGATGGGTGAAATGAGGGACCTTGGGATGTTCAGAGTCTAATGTCTATGGATTTGGCATTTTCCACAATAAAAGGGGCTTTGCACCTTTGATTAAGGTAAGGACCCTGAGATGGGAGATACTCGGCATGATCCAGGGCAGGGTCCACCCAGTCTACCTACAGGACTCCTCTAAGCAGAAGAGGGGGATGGTAGAGGGAGAAGGAGAAAAGATGTGGCAAAGCAAGCAGAAGTCAGAGGGAACTGGCCAGGAGCCAAGGAGCTCAGGCAGCCGCTAGAGGTTGGAAAAGACAAGGAAACGGCCTCTCTCCTGCCCACTCTGGGTATGCAGCACTACCAACACCTTGCTTTGAGCCCCAGGGGACCCATTTTAGACGCGTGACTTCACTACTGTAAGATAATAAATTTGTGTCACCTTAAGCCTCTAAGTTTGTGATAATTTGTTACAGCAGCAATTGGCCTTGTGACTGGAATTTACACGTTCTTAAGAAGTCAAACAGATGGCTTTAGATTTCCCTTGCTTTCACAGTTTCTGGGTAGTGGCCATAATCAAAAGCAGTGAGCAGAGGCCTGCCAAGGAAGGGAGAGCCAGAGTCCCAGCTCCAGGACGGGAATGGCTTCTGTGTTCCACCCACTGTTAGACCCTGTATTGAAGTCTCACCTGAAAAACAGTGAGTGGGACTTGGCTATCAGTTACGTGGATAATTGGAGTCCAAATAACAGAGATCTGGCATGCTGTAAACTTATAAATACTGCATGATACACTACCTGAAATTCAGAAGATCTAAATCCCTCCTAACACCAAAAGGTAGACCACTCTGTGGTTTCCAAAATCATGACATTCTACAGCAAGAGCTTCTGGGGCTCTGCTCAGACCCTGGGCAGCTGCAGTCTGGAGAGGACACTGGCCCACGATTAGAGTACTAATGTTACTAAGTGATATCAGGGCTTTATTCCAATGCACTCAGCTCAAATGTTCCTTGTTTGATGAACCCTCTCGTCTCAGCCTTCCTATAAATATATCTTATTGCTTGAAGTATGGACACATGATACTAGCAGAACAGTGATTAACTACATCAGGCTTGAATATATGAATTACAAAACTATCAATTATAAAAGTCTGGGTGTTTTCTGACTGTGTAATACAATCATACTTAGTGTTTTATACATGATACATGTAGCTATTCAAATTGTTTCATCCAAATCCTGATACTATAGATCTCTTTGTTTTTATTTCCACTTGGTAAGAAAGGGAAATTAAGAAATTCAAGAATTTTTAAAGCATGAAAGGTTTCCATAATTCTTCCCACTATTTCTTTAGTTGTGCTTGATCTTCCTTGATGGAAAAAATAAAAGGCTTAGACTTCAGGAAGAGAGATGAAGGTTAAAATGTTCAGCATTTCCTGACAAAACAACATCTAGAACACCTTGGATCTTATAAGAAAATCTGATTCATTTCCTTGGATGGTTTCTTTCAAGTTGATGGTTCTGGAAAATCCCTGCAATAATTAAATCATTTCCAGGAGCAAAATGTCCCACCAGTTTTCTATCTCGCCCCTCCTGCTGACTACAAAATGAAAAAGTGTCCAAATATGCGTGGTTCTGCTTTTAATGCAGGGAAATAACAATTAGTAAATCAATAAATTACATCCTTTGTTTTTAAACATATAATGTTAATTTTCATTAATTATCAAAAAAAATTCAGTATTTTGTTCAACAAGCATTATTTGGGCACTAATGATGTGGTGGATATAATGATGACGTCCTGGGTACGATGATGAACACAGAAGACAGTCAATCTTGAAGACTTCAGGTTGACAAGGAAGGCAGCCCATGACATGTCCATGGGTGTGTGTTGAATGCTGTGAAAGGGCAAATATGGTAGTTCCCCTATTTTGGGCACTAGGAAGCTGTCATTGAGTGAAGGACATGTAGTCTAAGAAAAGGAAAAAGGAAGAACGCATTTTTACAGCTTCAACAGTCCCAACACTCAACACAAGAATATCTCGGCCACCTTGTTCTGCAGTCAACTGCTCACATGGAGGAGGCTCAAGGAGTGAAAATCAATCCAGTCTCAGAAAAGAAGTAGCAACTGAGTTTCCTGATTATAGGTAATGTTGGATGGCGGACTTCCAGGCTCTTCACAGAACCACACACTCTTGGGGTCGGGAGAATAATGAAGTCCTTATTATCGACCTTACTCCTCTTCTGTCAGTCTTTCCTTTATCTAGTACTTACTGGGCACCATTACAAGCCTGGCATTATTCTGGATGCTGGACATGTATAGATGCTTAGTGCTTTTGCCTCCTCAGAGCTCACTGTTCAGTGAGAAGAAGGCAATGCACAAAGAGACTGAGGCCCAGGCATTGATGTAGAGATGGAGATATGATGGTAGGTAGGTAGTAGTAGCTGCTGTGAAGACAAGGCAGGAGCAGGCACAGGAAAGACCCATTGGAAAGATGGGGGGGGCTGTCACAGTTTGGTGTCTCCTGAAGAGGAGACCAGTGGAACCAGAGAGAACAATGAAGGAACAGAAGTGTCAATCAACTGGAGGAATGGCTAGCATCATGAAGGCAGAGCAGACAAGATAAGAGAATGGTAAGGAAAGTGGGTATAACAGAGGGCAGGGGCCAGACTACAGAGGGCTTTGTAGCCTACGGAGGACTTGGGATTTTATTCTGAAGGTAGTTGGTTACAAGCAAGGGTAGCTTGGACATGATATCAGGCATTAAAGAATCCCTGTGGGGCTGGGATTGTGGCTCAGTAGTAGAGCGCTTGCCTAGCATGGGCAGGACCCGGGTTCTATCCTCAGCACCACATAAAAATAAAGGCATTGTGTTG